CTGTCCACAATTACAGAATTATTGATTTTGGCATCCTTCCCCATCCCACATCTGAAATGTCTGACTCTGAGTAGATGGCTCTGCTCACCTATGATGTCACCCTTGATGATTTCTCCTCCCTGACACCCCGTTTTTCCCTCCCACTCACCGTCCCATCCAAATGCAGCCACTAATGTTGTCTCCTCCTCTCCTACAGACCTTGTGCCATCCCTGAAGGTTTAGGGAACGTGGGCACTATGGCTGCTGAGTCAGTTGACATGACGAAGCAACTAAAAGACAGGCAGATGTACTTACCTACCCTCTCCTCTCTTCTCCTAGGAAGAAGAAAATCCTCTCTGCTCTGAAGAGCTCCCCAGCCAACAGCAGCAGAGCTGACTTACGGGAACCATCTCCCTTACGAAGAGGTCCCCAGCCGTACCTTCCACCATCTCGCTCCCCTTCCTTGAGGCGTGGAGAGATCCTCATTGAGTGGAAAGACGGGACTGTCACTCCTCTTTTTGATAATGTCAGTTACCAAATGGACTAGCTCTGAAATAACAGAGCTGTTGTTCCATTCTGTGTCACTCTTCCCACCAGGAAGAGTGCCACCATAACCAATCTCTTCCCTAGCCTTGCTGTTTTGACAGGGAATTGGGTTTTTTCAACACTTGAGAACTATCTCCTTGCACAGCACAAGGTTGAAGCAAGCAGAGCAGATTGATTGGTTTGTATTGACACATGCTGCTTAGCTCTTCCAGAGCTGATTTAACCCATAAAAACTCCCAGATTTAGCTAAATGAAGCCAAGACTCTCACCAGCTGCAAACTGCCCATTGCCCTGAAACTCTAGTTACTGAGCATATGAGAAAGTAAGTCCCTAGAGACAAGGTGTAAGATGAAAAACAGAAGTCCTGATGATCCTTAAACCCTTTTTAAGATACAACTAGCTGCCAACAGAGACAGAAGGCTGCCTGTTACTGTGTCAATGTGAGAACATAACTAATAATGCACTGCCTTCAGGACTCAAAAGATTAAAGATCCTCCTCCAGTTATCTGCCAAAATACTCCCCCCACTAAGTTATCATCAATTAAGTAACAGAAAGTTGGTTTTCTAACTTAAAAGGTAGCATTTCATCCTCCTCTTTGCATCGCTGCAGGATTCCTGCTGAAAGAGTATGTCTCTCTCAAAATGTTTCCATATTTAGGATGTTATTAGACCTTATTATAACACACATCCTCTTTATGTAGAATGACAAGTAACATCGGTGATGATGCTTGTCAGGGATATTACATTATCCAGCCATTTTATACCAGCTTCAGTTTCTGATTTCCTATAGTCATTTGGAATAGTCAATGAACAGATACACTGCTCCCATCTGAAGTAGTAATAGAGGTTTTTTTTCTACAAAGGAGTAAGGCACAGTTTTCAGCCACTTCTGATATGTGCATAATTGCCTGCGAGCCATCACACTCAATACTGATCTTTTCTTAGTGAAACTTGCAGAGTCTTAGTGTTTTCCTAATATTAATGAACTTATGCTTTCCTTCTGTCTGATCTGGTGATGATGTAAACCATAACCATGGATACAAATCAGGAATTATTTGGAGAAAGAAACACTAACTCCAAGAAATTACAGCTATAAGCTGCATCAGTCTATTTTTCAGCAGTGCGAGGGAAACCATATCCTAACTCGTCTCTTACTCAGGCTTAAACAACACTTTTGACTTTACCTAAACTAACTTGTGCCATTTCAGAAGGGCTTGGACTTCTCTAGAGTCTGATTTTATTTAACCTCAGGCAGAAGTAAGGTCTCTAGGGAATTTAAGGGCCCTGATATATATATATATTTATTTTTCTTTTTAAACATAGACCCACAGCCTGCTAAAAAATTAACTGCCATGAGATATTATGACAAAAAACTTAGCTGGTCTCAATAAATAAAACACAAACCTTACTGGTTCAGGGCATACAAATCTTAGAGGTTAGAAATAAATGTCTTCCCCAGACAGATTATTCCATAATTATTTACTGGAGGGTTTCCCACACACTCCTTGGGAAAATGTTTTACTACTAGATATGGGCAGAGGAAGAACCCTTTCTTCACCAGTGAGCAGCGAACACAAACAACACAGTCACACTCAAATTCTGACTTTCCAATGTTACCACTTTAAAACAAATCCAAAGAGTTTTGGGTCAAGTTTCCAAATGTGTAAGCATTATTTTACACACAAACTTTGTGGGGATATTTTCTGTACATAATTTGTTCAAAATGCACATGGACTGCTTCACCGATTGTCACAGTTACACCCTTTGTAGCTTTTCCTACCACAATTTAGATGCCTGCCTTTGAAATTTTGTCCAAGGACCACGCTGCCTTACAGCGCACAGCACTTGTTACCCTCCAAAACCTTGACACACTTTGGGAACACGATGTATGCAGAGCCATTAAAATGCAAATACTTACTTGGAGTTCAGCTAATGTTGTGCTTTCCAAAGCAGCAAACGCTTCTGTTCATTACTGCTGAATGGGCAGAACAGATGACTTGTTAGTGACTCTCTATAATTCATACTTAATATGTTAATCTTGCTCATAAACATGAAGGCAATAACATCATTGTTTACATAGCACTGATTAAATGGTAGCTCAAACAATAACAAAAAAACAAGACTGTGAAGCAGCACAGGCTTTTAACTATTTCCCCCCGCCTCTCTATGTGCTGTTCACTATCTGCTATCACCTGATTGCAATGATTGTAAACAGTGTTCACAATCAAAATAAAAACTGACCGTAAAGTGGAGGAGCACTGAAATTCTTTATGTGCATATATACACACGAGGCCTACAAGAAAGCTGGGGAAGGGTTTTTCATAAGGGCACTTAATGACAAAACAAGGGGAAATGGGTTTAAACTGAAAGAGGGGAGGTTTAGATTAGATATTAGGAAGAAGTTCTTCACTGTGAGGGTGGTGAGACACTGGAACAGGTTGCCCAAGGAAGCTGTGGATGCTCCTCCCTGGAAGTGTTCAAGGCCAGGTTGGATGAGGCTTTGAGCAACCTGGTCTAGTGGAAGGTGTCCCTGCTGATGGCAGGGGGGTTGGAACTGAATGAGCTTTAGTCCCTTCCAACCCAAACCATTCTATGATTCTATGATAAAACCAACTTCCTCATACAGTTCCTTGCTTTGTGACGTCCAAGTGCCTAAGCAGCAAAGGCTAGAGGAGCCGTAGGGAAGAAGGGACAGTTGTTCTCCCCAAAGTTCCCTGGGATTCAGGAAACCTCATTCCTCACCTAAAAATTTAGTGTGCAAAAAAGCACCATGCTTTTTTGGTATTTATGTACCAAAACATCCAAGAGATTATGAACCGTTATTATGAACTGAACACACATAACCATACAGAGTGCTAACAACCTCAGCTCCCACCAAGGTCAATGACAAAAGACAGGTCCACAGGAAAGCTGATGCAGGAGATACCACCACAGGCTTCTGCAACCACCCAGCATGAGTAACCACAGCACAGCACTGGCAGTGCACAGGGCCAGGCTGCAGCCGCAGAAACACAGACGCAATCAAACAGACACAAGATTGCACATTAGCTGAGATACATTGTGCAGAAAATGCTCTATTAGGCAGAGAGATTTCCCTTTCCCAATCCCCTGAATAAGGCAGGGCTGAGGTGTCTGTTCAAAGAGCAAAAACGAAAAGAAAAGAGAGAAAAGAACTTCAAGTTTGCCATTTAAATACTGTACGTCAACTCTTTACTAAGACTCCTTGGATGGAAAATGTTTTCATAACAGTACATTAGTGATGTACATAAATTCATGATACAAACAAACAAGACCTGAAATGATCTGACAAGTTATCACAGCGTATCAGTGAGGAAGTTGGGAACACAACTACTGCTTCTCCACTTGAAATGCAAGGTGCAACTTCTGCAGTAAACATTTTGTTACGAAAAATCTCCATATGCTCATTTTCCCACCTCTGTAGTTCTACATCAGCAAGTCAAGAAATATCAGGTGTTTGATTTTTCAAAAAGACCTGTGGTTGTTCAGCACTTCAAGGAAAAAAAAAGGGGGGGGGAGGGCAGGGGAAAAGGAGACAGAGGAAGTCTTTGTCAGCTCTGGGTTTCAGTTCACACAGCTCTGGCTCATGGCTCAATCAGACCACACTTTTTTGTGTTAGCTAGGGGAGACAAAAGCACCAGCTCTTTTGGGCTGGTTTTGACTGGGACAGAGTCAATTTTTTCCATAAGAGCTGGCATGGGGCTGTTTTGTATTTCTGATGAAAACAGTGTTGATAACACAGAGATGTGTTTGTTATCACTGAGCTGTGCTTACACAGCCAAGTCCTTTCCTGCTTCTCACATCCCCCCACCAGTGAGGAGGCTAGGGGTGCACAAGAGGTTGGGAGGGGACACAGTGGAGAGAGCTGACCCCAACTGACCAAAGGGATATTCCATACCACATGACATCCTGTGCAACCTGCTCTAGGTGAACCTGCTTTGGCAGGGGGGTTGGACTAGATGATCTCCACAGGTCCTTTCCAACCCCCACCATTCTGTGATGGCATCAGGCTCAGCATATAAAGCTGGGATAAAGAAAGGGGGGATGTTCAGAGTGATGGCGTTTGTCTTCCCAAGTACCCATTACACGTGATGGAGCCCTGCTCTACTGCAGATGGCTGAACACCTGCCTGCCGACGGGAAGTAGTGAATTAATTCCTTGTTTTGTTTTGCTTTGCTTGCATGTGCAGCTTTTGCTTTACTTGTTAAACTGTCTTTATCTCAACCCATGAGTTTTCTCACTTTCACCCTTCTGATTCTCTCCCTCATCTCACGGTGGGTGGATTGAGCAAGCGGCTGTGTGGTGCTTGGTTGCTGGCTAGGGTTAAACCACAAGATCTTTAAAAGCAAACATTTCTGTAGCCATGTAGCTCCTCTCTTGTTAAACCCCCCCGCCCCAAATAATAAAAAAGTAGGTTGTGTTTCTTCAAAAACCCCCCTTATCCTTCACAAAAATATTTATTCTTTGGAGCAGAGAAACTGATGCACTTCTTTCAGAGTAGCTTGCATGTCTTCATATTCTGCAAATTTGCAAGCATCCTCCAGCTTCAACCACTGGAAAGCTTGGTGCTCATCTGAGAGCTTGATTTCTGTGTTACAGTCCTTCATTTCTGCCAGCCAGTAAATTACAGTCTTAGGTTTGCCACGGACAGGATAGTGCAGTTCTTTCTTGTATCCCTCTATGAGGGTGAGCTGACTGGCCTGGAGACCAGCCTCTTCCTGCGTTTCCCGGAAGGCTGTCTGCAGGTCATCCTCTCCTGGGTCCACATGGCCTGTCAAGAAAGTGAAAAAATAAGCCTTTAAGCAGAAAACTCAGATTCTGTTTATTCAGTTGACAGCTACGAGTCATTGGGAGACAGAGATGAGAGTGCACTGTAGCTGATACAGAATCAAACAGAAATTGGAGAACAAAGATTGCTTTTCCAACTCTTATGTCTTGATTTGTCTTTGTCTCATGGCTTTTAGGATCATTGTTTATCTTGTGTCTTCTGAAACTCCCAGTGGCCTGTCAGCACTCGACATCTTTTCTTCCCAGTCCTCCTCTCCTCTTCTGGAGCACTCTGCACCCATAACGTTCCACCTTAGATCATACTTAGGACTGAGTGCCTCATGAATGTTTTTCTTTACCCAGTTAGGGGGGAGACTGATCAACTGCAAGAGTCTTAGTCTTCTCTCAACCCTTCCCTCCCACAGAAGCTTAAGGCTCAGCTCTGCAAAACTCTTACTGATGGCAATAGCCCAGAAACAACGGGACTAGGAACCAGCAAATGCCATTTAAAAGGTGGGTTTCAGCTAGGCAGTTAGGGGTATTTTTATTTCTCTCCCATATTTCCCTCCGAAACGCAGCATGCCTAAAAGCCAGTCCTTTCACCAGCTGCATGGTTCTTCTAGGACACATCATTTATTTTACATTGCTTAGAATGAGAGGTGCCATTACAAACAACAGACAAATATAACACATCCCCAGCTGTTTGTACTTTTGTTGAGAAATGTCAGATTTGGTTTTCTCATGAAAGCTCCAGACCAGAACATAAATAGAACACGCCAAGCAAGACCTCAAAAAAGCAACAGAGTAGGAGCCGGGAGGCTTCAGGAGGAGAAAAAAAAATTAAGCTTTATTTTGCCCCTGGTGTCACTCTATTTCCTAGGTAGCTGGCTGTAAATAGCCATAATTTCATCAGAGATTAATCTTTCCTCAGAACTCAGGTACCCAAAGCCACCCTTTCATACTAGAACTGGGGTATGTAGGAAGCTCATTTTGCTTTTCCCAACAGGTCTCATTCACTTCTCTGTCTGTGTATTAGAAGCTCAAACACCTCTTACAACACGACATCGTCTCAAATGTAAAATATACTTCTATTTCAAGCAGCAGCTGTGCAGAAAACAGCATCTGATGTTGCACTTGATGTCTCAGATATTTGAGATCAAATACACTGAGGCTCAGTAAGTTTCCAACTTTGGGCAGTAGAGCTTACTTGTTGGGCAGAAAAAGGACTGCTGGCAGCACCTCGCACCACAGTGCCCACCAGCCTCTCCCAGCAGCCTTGGCTACTGCAACGTCACAGTTCCAGGAGCAGAGATGAGGCTTATCAAGCTCACATGGGGGGATCCAAGCAAGTCCAGTGTAATCCTATAAGGGTTGCAGCTGCTGTGGATGTTGTCTACCTGGACTTTAGC